AGTGATACTGCCTTGGAAACCCAAGGAGGGGTCACTATGAGTTGGGTCCGACTTGACAGCACATAACAACAACAACTACTCTGAGGAGGCCACTCTTGCCAGTCATATTTTGGGTGCCTTCTGACTTCAGGGGTTCATCTTCCAGTACTATATTGGACAATGTTTCAGGGCTATTCCTAAAGCTTTCCAGTAATACATCAGACAGTATTTCACTGTTATTTATAAGGGTTTCACTGGCTAATTGTTTTAGAAGTGGGTGTCCTCTTCCTTCTTCAGAGTCTGTCAGTCTGGAAGCTCTGCTGAAACCTGTCCACCATGGGAGATCCTGCTGGTGTTTGAATTACCAGTGGCATGGCCTCCAGACTCACAGCAACATGCCAGTCACCACAGTACAACAAATTGACAGATGAGTGGTGGACAACAAAGCTAGAGATACTGACTTTTATATAATGCTTTAATAACCAAACATTATACTGAATTATTTTTTGCAGTTAATTCCTTAAATTTTCCACAAGTATGATCATTGATGCTGGTGCTGATATTCTTGGCCTCCATGCTTCTTGTTTAGATCTGCTGTCTAACAGCATTGGCTCTGTAGGGTTAGTGATCATTCTTGCCTTGATCCTGACTTTAATAGGAATGTTTCTAATGTTTAGCCATTAGGCATGGCACAAGTGCATATATGTAGATATATACACAAGGCAGTGGTGCCTTAGTGGTGGGATTCTCACCTTCCACGAGGGAGACCCAGGTTTGATTCTTGGCCAATGAACCTCATGTGCAACCACTGTCTATCTGTCAGTGGAGGCTTGTGTGTTTTGATGGTGAACAGGTTTCTGCAGAGCTTCCAGACTAAGATGGACTAGGACAAAAGGCCTGGTGATCTACTTCCAAAAATCAGCCAATGAAACTCTGTGGATCACAATGGTCCAATCTGAAGCCGCTTATGGGGACGGTGCAGAACAGGGCAGCATTTTGGTCCATTGTGTATGGAGTCACCATGAGTCAACAGCTGATTGGACAGAAGCTCACACACACACACACACACACACACATATTAACAATAAGCATATATATTATTGTAGAAATACATTATTTTAGCTATATTTTTTCAATCACTTAAATATTTATCTATATACTGGAATTCTATTAACTTAGTTTTCAAAGCAGTTAGTGAAGAAGGGACTTGACCACATATGACATGGGGCTCTGCAAACACATGCTGGCCCCCCTCTCCCTCTCCTGCTGAAAGGGGGCATGGTAGGTACCTGCCAGGAGGGCGTGAATGTTCAGCCCTCGGTCTTGGTCCACAGGGCTGCACACATCCATCATGTAGGCGTGGCTGGGGTTGTCAGCGGAATCTGCACTGAAGTCCATCAGCACCACCCCACACACAGTGAGCAGGATGCCCCACTTGTGGTTGCTGGCTGTATCAGCCAGGGCTGTCCCGATGTCCCTGCCATTGAGCAAGAGTGAGAGACCCAGCAACGCCCCTGGAGATAGAGAAACAAAGAGTCACCCAGGGAAGATGCAGACCAGCTCTGTCCCAGACACACTACCACTCAAGGCTGGAATCTTAGGGCCCAGGAACTTTAAACTGGAAGGCAACCTAAAGACCATTTTTTTTTTTTTTTTTTTTGTACTGGGACCAGGGATTTTATTTCATCAGACAGAACAGGAGTGAGATGAACATTACTGACCAATGTTTAAATTTTAAAAAACTTTTTTTTAAAAAAGAAAAAGAAATGGTCAAAGTGATGCATTCTCACGGTTGACTCAGGCTAGGTTACAGGGTCCCCCTGCCACCATCCCAGCAAGGGCCCAGAGCTTTCTAGGTGACTGCTTTGGCCAAGATTCTTTATAGATTCTTAGATTTTCCTAAAAGGAGGCAACTGGAACTCTTTTTCTCCCCATTTTATTTTAATGCCAAAACAACAGACCTATAGCCAGGACAAGAATGAAAGGGCGTCTCCTTCCAAACCTTGAGGTACATTGGTCACTCCAAGCACCCAATAGAGGCTGTAGTAGGAATCCTGAAAGAGAGCAGACCAGTGGTCATTGCTTGGGACTGCATGGCCCATTGGGACAAACATTGGAACTTGGCCTCATCACATTCCTGAAATACCTGCACTCAAAAATCTCAATACATCAAAAGAGTAAGATGATGAAACACAAAACCCTCAGCTAGAGAACAAAGGATAAACAGATTCACGAACCACTTGGCTTCTCCTTGAATGCTCTACTTAGGACCCTATGAGGCACTAAGCTGTCATGTCCTTTCTTGGGATTCCAAGAAATGCCAGGACCTCCTAGACCACAAGCCACATCAAACTTAATGCTTGGATCCTCCAGTGATAGTGTGAAACAAGATGGTGGTTTACTAAATTCTTGTTCTACATTCTGGATTAGATAAAGTACTTACAATGTGAATGTGGCCAGTCATACCTGTGCTTTTCTACAGCCCCATACTAATTAGTGGACTCCAACTCATGCTCCTCCCTTGACCCCTCATGACCCTCAAGTTGCTTCAAATGAAGCTTCTGGAGGCTTCCAGAAGTTTCTAGAGGCCATCCCTCAGTGGGGCTGAGGTGGGGCTCACCAAGGATGGGGCTGATGAACCACACTAGGCTGTAGAGTTGGTCCGGCAGACCCATCTGCAGGAGCACTGGGGTCACGTACGCTGTCTCCATGGCGTAGCTGAACTCAATGCCAAACAAAATGCAGCCATTGAAGAGCAGCTCCCGGAAGGACCTCTGGGGGTGCAGGTCCCCAAAGTCCACTAGTTCAATTGGACATGGAGTATTGGGGGGTGGGGGTGGAGAGGGACGGATGCACTTCCTCCTCTTGGGGTGTCGTTTGAAGTTGTTGGCCCGGTGGCTGATGTGCCGGGTCACAGACCCCGAGTAGCCCGAGACCTGAGACCTCCAGAAGTCCTGAGGAGCCAAAGTGGGGAAGAAGGCCTCTCCCGGAGGGGTGCTGCTTGCTGGGGGGATCATCGTAGGGAGGGCTCGTGTGTGTTTCTGTAAGGAAAGACCATTCAGGGGCAACAGTTATTCACCCAGGGTCTCCAGTCTCAGAGTCAATTTTTCTAAGTAGCCAGCCCCCCAAACTGGCATGGGCTAACCCTTCTCATATGCAGAAGGCTGAGTTCACGCTGGAGAACCTTTCAAGTCAAATGGAGTTACCCCAGAAGTCAAGCTTGCTTCTTGTGGATGGTGTGACAGACTCTGCTGCTCACCTGGGGCAGTTCACCGGTCCATGGAGACCAAAACTTGATGCTCTCTCCCTACTCACACTGAGCACCTCAGTCCTTTAGGTCCCTGTACTGACACTCAAAGGGATCCTCCCGCAACAGAGGCCCTGCCAGGAGAGTCAGACAAAAGGCTCCTAAGGAAGCAGCCAACAGCCCCATGTTCCTCGTAGGGCCTGAAGGACACCAGCCTCTTTCAGGACTCACAGCCCATTTCCAGGGTGAATTTTGCACTTCCTTGAAAGTTGCAGGGGACATGGGAGGAGGAGTTATGGACTGAATTGTGTCCCCAAAAAGAAAAGTGGCAGTCCTGACCCCTGTGCCTGTAACTATGACTGTGTTTGGAAATAGGAGTTTTCTTTCATTAAAGAGGCCGTATCAGAATAAAATGGGTCCTGAATCTTATCACTTCTGAGTGGTGTCTTATAAAAAGAGCAGAAGAGACACAGACACATAGACAGGGGACATCACATATGAGTAATGTCTACAAGCCAAGGAACGGCAAGGATCACCAAGCAGACACCAGAAACCAGGGGAGAGGCCCACAGAGGGAATCGACATGCCTGAGGCCCTGCTTTGGACTTTTAGCCTCTAGAACTGTGAGAAAATAAATTTCTGGTCTTTAAAGCCACCCACTTGTGGTGTTTTTGTTATGGTAGCTGTAGGATATAGGAAAGTAAGACAGGAGAGGAGACCAGCCACAGGCAGAAACGCACTACAGGCACCCTGCACACTCACAGTCGTGTGGGTGCCTCCCTTCACATGGAAGGAAAGTTGCAGCAATGCCTCTGGTCTCTAATATGTGCATTTACTCCTCCCCTAAAGCAGCTGAAGGGAGCTTTGGTAGCATAATGGCTAAAGCACTTGACTGCTAACCAGAAGGCTGGTGGTTCAAACCCACCAGCCACTCCTCAGAAGGAAGGTTGGGCAATCCTACTTCCGTAGTGATACTGCCTTGGAAACCCAAGGAGGGGTCGCTATGAGTCGGGGCCGACTCGACGGCACATAACAACAACAACAACAACAAAAGCAGCTGAATGAGTTTAACAAAAATCCATTCATTTTAGCATCGCTGAAAGAGTGAGTTTCCAGTCAAGTCAGGAGAACTAAGACTTTTTTGGTGTTTTAAAATTCCTTGCTAAAGGAATAAATCAACCTCCCCCATCTTGTACACACCGAATGGGGATACAATTTATGAAAAGTAAGGGGCAAATGAGCCAGGGAGGGGTGAGAAATAAATTTTCCCCCATCTGCAAGCTCTTTTTTGAGCAATTTTCATAATGCTAATGATTTAGGCAGGAATTAGCAAGTATACAAACCTCACAAACACTGCCCCCTACTTCCCTCCACCCCACCCCTCTCACCTGCACTTTCTTTTTCCCCCCCCCCCCCACCTCCCGATCCTGGACATCCAACTGTCTCCAGTGTTTTGAAATCAATCTAGATTATAAATGTTAAAGGAACGGATTCTAAAATTCTAGTCCATTTTACTAAGCCCCATGACATGAGGCTACTGAGACCAGAGGGAAAGAGACAGATGTAAACCTAAGACAGGGGAGACTTGAGGATCTGTCCAACCCTTGGGACACAGCCCAGTCCACCTGGCCTCACATAAAAGCAGTTGTCTGAATTTCTTTTGGAGTGTTTCCTGAGTGGTAGACCCCAAACCTGAGATAACAGTTCCAACATTGACAGGTTTCCTGACAAGGACAATTATCATCTACAAATATAAATATTATAGACTTTCTTTCAAAATTAGTTTTAGACTTTAGAAATGATGCCCTTATTTCTGACATTAACTTACCATATTGCCTTCTATCTCACTGTTGCTAGTCAATAACTTCTTCATAAATCACTTTAAAATTCCTCACTCCAGATTTGCATTCCAAGTTCCCACCTGACTCCCACCCATTCACCCAGGGATTGACCTTCTTCTCTTCAGAAGATAACAGTGGTGGGGATGAAGGGATCTAGAGAGGCCTCAATAGGATTCAGAACATTGTGTTAACCCAACAAGCCACCATCCATCCATCCACCCATCCATCCATCCACTCATCCATCCACCTACCCACCCATCCATCCATCCACCCACCCATCCATTCATCCACCTATCCATCCATCCACCCTTTCATTCATCTTTCCTTCCTTCCTTTTTCCTTTCTTCATTTCCTTCCTTCCTTCTTTTATTGTGTATATTCACCTATCCTTCCATCTGCTACATTCATCCATCAACCCATCCTCCTATCTAACCATCTACTCTTTCCATCCATCCATCCATCCATCCACATATTCACCCACTCACCAAACTTCCATCCACCCTTGCAAACAGCCACTCACCCACCAACCCTTCCATCCTCCCAACTTCCCATCAATCTATCTACCTTTCCTTCCCTCCATCCATCCATGCATCCATCTATCCATCAATATACCTTGTTTTCCTTCCATCTGCTAATCTATAGCCACTCATCCACCCATCCTCCTGTTTACTCATCTACTCTTTCAAATATCTACCCGTCCACCCACATATCCACCCACACACCCAACATTCCATAACTCTTTCATCTGCCCATTGACCCTTCCAAATACCCACCTACCCACCCATCCTCTCATCTGGCTAAATAATGGGTACCATGACACTGAGATCATAGAGATAAGAGAAAGACATTATTCTTGCCCCTGAGTTAGGTGAAAAAAAGTGGAGGAGTGGGCTTCTAACAGGGGAACCACCATATAAAGGAGCTATGGGCACAATGAAGGTGTGGTGAGAAATCAAGCTATCAGGGAGGGGTTAGCTGATCCTGAAGGGCTTGAAGCCTGGCTAAGAGACAGATTTTATACTGAGGTGACAGGGAGTGACAAAGCCAGAGACTCAGTCTTCTCTCACATTTATAAATGATTATTTTGTGACCTTAGAAGAACCTCATGTCCTCCTCTAAAACAAGGACACATATACCTAAGAACTACAGAAAAAACGACCTCCTAAAACAGACAAATACTATTTCATCAAAACCTTAATTCATTTATAAAGAGTAAATCAAGATTAAAATTTAAAAAGCTCAGCTCCTTGCTCCTGTTCTTTCCTGTGTCTAGCTCAGGCCCTCTACATAGAAAATACTCAACAAACATCTGTTGATTATCTGGTCTTGCCTCCAGAAATCCAGGCAGCTGTTAGCATTCTCTAGAGCTTCATTTATTAAAATCATAGAATTAGGGTGCCAGTCAGAACATTGCCTGATGAGTCCGTCTCTAGGAGTTGGTAGTGAGACTTTTTCAGGTGGTGCGTTGGCGAGCCTGATCTGACCATACCTGAAGGTCACAGCCCACATTCATCCTCAGTGGCCAGCTCCCTTTCCACCTGTGTCCAACCCCTTGCACTTCAGGAAAATGCAAGTCTTGTCCTACCTCTCCTATCAGCATTTTACACCATAGTGTGAACTAAATCCACATGCTTTACAAACCTTACCTTTAATTTTGGAATGAAGAACTCTAGGCCCAGTTTGAAGGCATTTCAGCTTTAAACAGCATATGAAGGAAGTCTATTTTTGAAAAGGGGGACTCTTTTTACCTAAAATGAACTCCGTAGATAGCTCACTTCTCTACTTGTGCTGTGACAATTCAACCATCCTCTCCCCCACCCCCAGCTTTAAAACACACAGTGCCAAGGTGAGACCCGCACATCCCCAACTTAAACCCCTTTAGGCATCTAACCAGAATTAAATCTGAGCTTGAAAAAAGTCTTCATTAACAACTTACCTTCAAATTTGAGGCTCAGTATTACCCTTTTATAATAAAAATACATTTATTAAAAGCTACTCATGAATGTTTATTCTAAGAAACATTAAAAAATAATTTTTGAAGAGACAAATTACAGATTGGAAGAAAATTATTTGTGAACCACTGATAAGGGTTTAATGCCCAGAATATATAAAAGAATTCTTACAACTTAACAAAAAGACAAACAACTCAATAAAAAAATAGACAAATGACTTGAATAGACACTTCACCAAAGAGTATATACAGGTAGTCAACAGGTGCATGGAAAGGCAGTCAACATCAAAACCTACTAGAATGACTATGAAATAAAAAAAAGGAAAATAACATGTGTTGGCAAGGATAAGGAAGAGTGAGAACCCTCATCCACTGCTGTTGGGAATGCAAACTGTGGAAAAGTCTGGTGGTTCCTCAAAAAGTTAGACATAAAACTACCATCTGACCCAGGAACTCCACTCCTAGCTATATACCCAAAAGAATTGAAAGCAGGAATGCAAATAGAAATGTATATACCAGCGTTCCTTATCCCTCTATTTGCAATAGCCAAAAGGTGGAAGCAACGTCAGTGTCCATCCAGAGATGAATGGATCAACAAAATGCAGTTCATACATACCATGGAAGGTTACTCAGCCATAAGGAGTAATGAAGTCCTGATACATGCTACAACATGGATCAACCTTGAAAACATTATGCTGAGTGAAATATGTCAGTCACAAAAGGACACATAATGCATGATCCCACTTACATTAAATAAGCAAATATATAGACACCAAAGCTTATTAGTGGTTACCAGGAGTGAGAGGGAGGGGGACAGGAGGAGTCACTGCATAGGGGGCACTGATTTTCTGTTAATGGTGGTAGAAAAATTTGGTAAAAGATAATGGTAATGGTTGCACACAACATGATAAACCCAACCATTGTCACTGAATTGTACATAAAAAATGTTGAATTGGCAGATGGCTTGTTATACATATTTTGACCACAATAAAAT